TTTCTCCGCCCACCCATATCATTTCCTGTCTGAACTTTCCTAGTGCTGGGATTAAAGGCATGTGACTCCCAAGTATTGGGATTAAAGGTGTGTGCCACCACTGCCTGGCTCTGTTTCTCTCCTAGACTGTGTCAATCTCATGTAGTCCAGGGTGGCTTTGAACTCACAGAGATCCAGACAGATCTCTGCCTCCTGAGTGATAGGATTAAAGGTGTGTGCCACCACTGCCTGGCTTCTATGTTTCATCTAGTGGCTTGTTCTATTCTCTGATCTTCAGGCAAATTTATTAGGGCAAATAATATATCACCACAGAAACATGAATTTGGAATTGGATGGGACTCTGTAGAGGAAAATTGAAATTTGCAGAGGGATATTCTTTGTATCCAGGTGATTGTCTTATGTATTTTCTGTTGTCTAGTCCTTATACCCCCAACAGCAGTGTTCTGCTCACTCAGTTCTTACAAGTGAAGGAAGGGAAACATATTTATTTCAGGACCTTCCTCCTGGGCTAGGATGTAGTTCAGTGGTAGTGTGCCTACAATGCATGAAACCCTGGGTATGATCCCTAGCACTACACACTCGTCCTCACCAACACCCTTCATATGGCTGTATCATCTCACTTTTCCAGTGAGGAAACAGAGTTCTGAAGAAGTATAGGGTTTATTCTATGTGCAGATTCTCTGCCCATCATTTCAACTGATGTAATGACTGCCAAATTCTCATGAGAATTATTTTCAGCTTATGCACACACTTGGCCCTCAAATTAAATAAGGAACATGGTGGTACATGACTAACTTGACCATGTAAATATAGAAAGGTTTCTCTGAGCTGAGTAACTAAGATAATACCAAATAAGTATTATGGATCAGTTTTAACCTGTTGCTGAGCTGGCATGAAAGGAAGCTGAGCCCCCAAATAAACCAGCCTTGGTGCCCTGAGAGGTAGATATCAACTGTTCACTATGGAAATCTGTTATTTGGTGATTGGAAGATTCCCTGATCACTGTGTGAAATGGGGCATGGAGAACAGTGTTTGTCACCTGTGATTCCCCCTACATCAAGACGTGGAGAGCTGTGTTTTGGTGACATGAAGAAGTGACCTGCCTAGACTGGCCCAGTACTGAGAGCTGCGCTCACAAACCACCCCACCCCATGTGGGCTGTGGGCCAGATTCACATCATGAGGCTAGTCCAAATAAGCTTTTGCGGGGGAACCGGAGAGAGCATGCTGGTGACACTCAGACCCTGTCTTGAGGAATTTATCCTCAGTCTGGGTCTCAATCCTTTCAGTAAAATTCTAGTAGCTCACCATCAGAAACCACAAACTCCTGACGCCCGAGTGAGAGAAGCAGAAACTGAGCTGTTGAGACTTCCAGTTTAGACTAGAGAATTAGATCCAAAGAAGTGGATGGAACGTAACTCCGAGAGACAGGTGAAACTGTGAAGCGCTGTGGAGAACAGAGGTAGACAGCCGACAGTTGGAGCCGCAGGAGAAGAGAAGTAGGAGGCGCTAGAAAAGATGAGGGTTGAGAGTTTGCAGGACTGTTGTATGATGCCAGGCCTCAGACCCAAAAGACCAACAAACCACAGGCAGATTATCCAAATAAAGATGGGTAGGAGGCCATCGAGAGCCCAGTCTCCAAAGAAGATCTCATACATCTAGACGACAAAAAAAAAAAAAAAAAGTTTGAATTTGCCCTTGTCACTGTGGCTCTCAATGTCTTCAGACATAGAAAGGGAGGCACATGTGGCCAGATGTCAGAAAGAAGAAATGCCTGGAAAGGGCAGACTGGCAGCCACGGTCGTCAGAGCCGACAGTTGTCTTAGTTCTCCGGCCTTTGATCTTTATCTTCCATCTATCTGCCTCGTGTGACATCAGTGAAATTTGGCCCTTGGCATTATTCTTGTTTTCCAGAACAAGCAGTTATTATTTGGGAGGCAGCAGGTTGACTCCAGACTTGTCTTCAAATCCTTCCTCTATGAACTAAGAAATCTTGCTTGGAGATGGACTTGGGCCCATCAGCACACTCTGGAAGAGAGCTGTGGGTAGTCAGGGCTCTAGAGGTTTAATGGTTAAGGCAGCATGGGCCACATTACTGATTGCCCCTTTCATATCTCCCAGTAACCATTAACATAAATATCATCTCACCATTTCAGACAGGGGACACCACCCTTGTGCGAGCGAGTGAGCGAGTAACGTGATGCAAGCTCTTAACCCTCTCAGTGTTTCCTTTGCTTCGGAGGCCTTGGCCCACATCCACCCCTAGTCTCTTTGAACCTGGGTGAGGCAGGAAAGGGTTAACTCCTGTCAGTGTTGCCCTTTGACCACTGCAGGATAAGAGGCATGATGAAATACTTTTCAAAGTCTTCTGTGGAAACACATCATGCATAATTGGAGCAAAAAAGAATAAATCAAAGCTTTCTCCCCCCGCCCCTTTAGTCTGGTAATTCATAATTGAAACCACATTGAGGTAAGGGTTGATAACTTCAAAACAACCAACAAGACTGCCCTTTCTATCAAGGTAGGAATAGGTAAGGCTGCTCATTACAGGGGCTCCAGGCTTCTGTGTAACAGCCGGCCGGTCCTCTCTTCCTCTCTTCACTGACGTCTCACTTTTCACTCAGGAAAAGACCCCTGTTTACATCAAATATTGGCTGACTCAAATATCTGTCCAGGTCTCTTGTTTCTGCATGAAGTTAGACAGAGGGATGTAAAGCATCTCTGACATGGTGAGCAATGGGAATTGGGTTTCCAGTGGTCCTTGGCTTCTCCTCTGCTGGTATTGGGATTGGTCAGATTGATGGAGGCCTGTAATTGGTCATGAAATATGGCTTTCTCCCTCCTGATTCTTCCAGTCCCCAAGTGAACCCAGCAAGAGCATTTCAGAATGGCTGGCAAAGGCCATTTTGTTTCTGCACAGTAACCATGATCAAGATGGCTTTCGGCTACCATAATCTTTGAGTCTAAGAACTCCAGGACAGGGCTGCCGAGGGACTGGGACAGCTTCCTCCATGTGCAAGCTAGTCACCTGAGTTTGAGTCTTTTGAAGGAGAAACCATTTGATTGCTCTTGACTTTAATAACCTCAGTCTCCCTTGGCCTCCCTTGCAAGGCATCCTGAAACCTGAGTCTATTAGGAAGGAGCCTAAAGCCTTCCACTGAAATGAAGGCAGGCACTTCCCTCTGGCTGACACTGAGACTGGACAGTCAGCATGGCTATCATAGTCTACTTTAGTGTGGCTTCAGCTTAGTCATGGGAGTTTCTTCGTGGAACTTGCATAGCAAATATCCATTGTAGGGGTGAGACAAGCAGAGTGGAAGGATGGGTGAGAGAAGAGCCAGGCATTTTGGCCAAAGCCAGCGCTTTGTTAAAATAACACCTTCTTCTTCACCCATCTCCTAATATGTCTGAGTGAGCAGTTTCTTGTGAGATTATAGTTTTGGAAATTGCCTTGGTGCCTACCGTCCTAAGTCAGGATGGCTTTGCCTTCTTTCCTGTCCCCACTGCTGGGCACATCTTGCCATAGTGGAGACTTAATCAGCCACCAGGGTTAATTGCCAGCATTGTTTGCTCTTTCCTGGCAGAAGCCAGAGTCTTGAGTAAATTATGGAGGTTTAAATTTGCCTGATTTCCTGCAGAAAGTGGGGTCAAGAGGTCCCAGACTGTAGACACTCTCTGTGACCAGCCAGCAGGGGTCGGTCCTGAAAGGTATTTCAGAGGTGACTAAGTGCCATTTTTTGAAATGTCCCTCTCCAGTGGGATATTTCTCTGGGCTTGGTTTGTTGACCTTACCCCAGTAGCACAGAGCTGCTTCTGTGAAGGCATGAGCCCCAATTAAAAGGTGCCTTTTCTCCACCCTGCTCCTGAGCTCCGCAGCCAAATGGGATTATGTTTAAGGAGGGGATGGTGCTTGGTGCAGAAGCCCATTGCTTGCCCGGGTTCCCTACCTGTGAACTTTAGAGGTAGCCATGTTCAGTCATCAGGAAAACACCACTCAGGAGAAGAAAGCCCCCAAAGAAGCATTAAATAAGGCAGTTGTAGGACTGAAAGACCTGTCGTAAGAAGCTTCTCCTTCTCACTCTGTGCCTTCAGCTGATCTGATCTCCCCCTTCACACATCACCCTGCAGGACCCTGGGTCCTCCCTGTCTTCTGAACTATCGGCACAAGTTCTGCAGTTGGATCCTCCCCTGTCTGTCCCTCCTGCAGCCTGCCTCCCCAGGGGAAGGGGGTGTGGTTGGATCTCTGCTTGCTGAGGTGGAACCCTGTTTGGTACCCTGTGATCCTGCCTACTGTGATTTATCACTCCACCCTGCCGTCTTTCCCACCGAGTGAGGAATGTGTTCATCTTTGCATCTTGAACCCTGATCTAGGCTTGAAGAATATGATTAGGAAATGTAGACATAAGGAATTTGTTCCTGAAGCAACACTGGTAGGAATAGTTTCTGCATTGCCAACTCACTGTAGCAGACAAAAACACACAGTGGGAGGATCAGTGTATGTTTCGTGTTTGCTTTCAACTAATAGCCATGTATTCTGTCTTAAGTGTTGGCATACACAATCTCATTTAAATATCATTCCGCAGGGAAATAGGTACTGTCACTGTCCCATTCTTAAGTATGAGGAAACAGCTGCTGACAGAAATATGTTTTATGTCATAACACTAATCAATGCCAAGGCTTCTGCTTCATTTAAATATTACAATAAAATCCTATTCTGAACATGGTGAGATTCTTGGAAAGTACTTCTAAGATGAATTAATCAAGTCAGAAACTATTTTAAAACCCGGGCTTCCTGTCTCTGCATAGAGGACAAATGGAGTGGGGCCTGGGTCATCGGCTCTGAGTCTTCTGTTCTCCAGCTTTTTTAATAGCACCAGACACTGTCACAGGCACTGGATCTCCTGCCCTCACAGAGCCTTCGGTGTGGTTAAAACAGAGGCTCAGAAGGGAAAGAACAAATCATGGAAATAAAAATAGTATATTTGGAGGAGTAGCCGGGGTAGAATTCAGGCAAAGCAGGACATTGGGGAATGCTGGGGATGCTGGAGAGGAGGGGTGATTTCACATAGATTCAGTGCTGAGAGAGACCCGAGGTTGCTTAGGCTGCCCCTCTTTGGAGACATGTAAAGAACAGCTCTGCAAGATCAGCAATTGACTTCACCTCCCCAGGGTCTGTGGATGCCCAGGACTGTATGCCCTTCTTTTGTGCCAAGTACCACCTCCTAGAAAGGTAACAGCAATGTCATGAGGACTTAATAGAGAAACTGAGGCACAGAAGACATGAAATACTTTGCCCAAGTTGCACAGCTCTTAGGAAAGAGAAAGCCTAGGCAGGTTGAGGTCTTTGGAGTCCCAGACTCACTCCAAATGCGCTGACTCACCCTGGGAGTCACTGGGTGAGTCCTGGCCTTGTGTCCACAGTGGAGTGGTGTCTGTCTCTGATGGATCTGGAGCTCACATGTGCCTCCTTGCTCATCTCAGTCTCCGGAGTTCCAGGAAAGGGCTGGCGAGATTTCAGTCCTCTAAGCTCCTTTCCATCTGCCCCCCATGTGCTGCCTCGCCGCCGGTGCTCCAGCCCTGTTTGGGACACAGGCCAGCAGTATGGGGAATGGCAGTTCTTCCCAGCAAACTGCCCCTTTTCTCCTTCCCTTCCGTGACCACCACTTCCTAAAGACACCCGGGACGAAACCTGTCACCTCACCAGAGAGGGCTCCTTTTCCTGGCAGCACCTTGAAATCAGAGCCAGGTGCCCTCGGGGAGCCTGGGTTTAGTCCAGGGCACCTACCCTCTGAAGCTGGCTTTGCATGTCTCTGGGCCTCCTTCTCTCCATGCTGTGCAGGCGTCCAAGTGCGTTGGCATTCTCCTCCCTCCTCCCACAGCACAGACCTTGTTTTGTGGTTCTAATCGTTTTTCCTTCTGCGTCTGTGGCATATTTACCTTTGTAAATTTATGTGACCACTTTGTCTCAGGGTTGTTATGTGTGGTGTGTTTTTGTATGTACTTTCTGCAGTCAAGGTTCTTGGGGAGAGAGTCTCATTTATTGGCCCAGAATTGATAACAGGGATCAAGAATTTTCAGGACTTCTGTCTTAGTGAGGGGGTAGATATATAGCAAACGCTGGCATCCCTTTCCCCTCCACTTCCTAAAGTCCTACCCAGCTGAGTGTGTTTGTAGAAAGTGGGAGGGGCTGGTGTTCCAGAGTCAAGATACCTGGGCTGTTTAGGTTCCATCACTGACAGGTTAGCTCTTGAACACAATGTGTGGTCTCTAGCCCTGAACATCCATTACCTGTGATGAGAACAACCCTGTCTTGGTGTTTTGAGTTTCAAATGAGCTAAGGGATGTGAAACCTTGTGCATGGCACTTAGGTGCTGCTCAGTGAGTCTTGCCTCGTTCTGCACATTAGGTGGTCTTACATGCTTCTTTTAAAGAGCATCAACCCCTTTTTCTTCTCCATTTCAAACTGTGTTTTTCAAGTGGACCTTAAGGTTTATAATTTCTGGGCATATGAGTAGGGGTGGTAATGTCAGAGAATACCTGAATGGTCCTCGAGGAGTACCTGTGACTTAAGAATAAGGCCACCTGCTAACTTTTCAGTTCCATAGAAGTCAGGACAAGATGAAGGATGAGACTTGAGAGGCAGAGGTAGCAAGATTATCTAGAGTTTGGATTCTTAGCATCAGCCACTGTCCTCAGACTGCAGCTCACAGTCAGTATGATGTCATGGCTCTCTCAGCTGTGAAGTCTAATCATGGCCATCTCTGGCTATATAGGCTTTAATATCCTGGTCATATTAGGGCTGCAGGAATCCCATTCAGACTCTCTGAGTCCCCGTCCCATGTGTACTCCATGTGTTTGTGTACATTTCCTAACCCGCACTGTCACATCTGGCAGACAGCTGTTATCACATGTGGTGATGGGTGTCCATCAGTGGCATAGATGAGATTGATAGGGCACCTCAGGAATCCAGAGTCTAAGGGCTGTAGGGAAGTTTAGGGCAGCCAGCATGGCAGATGGGACTTTCCACATTCTCCTCCCGATGGAAACTGCTGTTCTGGGCTGTTAACATGCTAACATACGATTGTGGGTCTAGTTAATAACACTGATTGTATACTTACAAGTCACTTAGGTGGGAAATGTTGCATATTTTATCATAGTTTGTTTTTAATAATGTAATATACAAGAACCATTGTATTCTGTGTATGTGTGTGCACATAGGGGTGAGAAGGAGAATGGGGTGCACATACCTATTTTCAAATACAGAAGCCAGATGAGGATGTCAGAGGCGTGTGTGTGTGTGTGTGTGTGTGTGTGTGTGTGTGTGTGTGTGTGTGTGTGTATGCGCGCGCGCACACGCGCGTGTCTTTATCTCCACTCTGTCTTATGGCCCTGGGACAGGGTGTCTCACTGAGCCTGGGCTCTCCTTTTTAGCTGTCCTAGGTAGCTGGCAAGCCCCAGGGGTCCTTCAGTCTCAGTTCCCCACAGCACTGAGCCTACAGGTGTGCGTGCGTGTGCCCAGCTTTTTTGCGTAGATTCCAGGGGTGTCCTCATGCCTGCACAGCATCTTACCTACAGAGCCATCTCCATAGGCCTTTCTGTATTCTTGAAATGGGTGGGATGTAGAGAACATGGATTCTTTCCAAGGAAGCTCTGAAAATGTATAAGATCGTTTTAATAATAGTTTCTTATCTGTCATTAGCAGAACAGAATCCTCACTTCTGTTGTTCTATTTAAACTATTAAACATTCTAATGGTAGGTAAAAGATTGTATTTTATTACCTTTTCCTCTTACATTCAAAACTCCATTTTGACCAAATTTCTAATTTACGGAGAGATTTTATGACTTGTCTAGTGAATTCCTGTTCAGAACTCTTCACCTTTGCCGAGAGTGTCCCTGCTTCCTCCGTGCAGAAACGGTGCTTGCTTCATTGTTTTGTCGTTTTGTCTCTTTCTCTCTCTATTTTATATGTCCCCGTGTTTGTTCTTTCTTGGTCCATTGCAGTCTGGAGCTTTTGCCTCTCCCATCATGTACTGAGACCATGCTTAATTTCTCTGATAGATTCATTTTTTTTCATATTCTGTGGTTTGGAGTTTTTATTCCCCCTCCCACCCGCACAGCCTATTAAATGGATGTTGGATCATCCTGCTTTTTTTCTTCTTTTCTGTCTTATTTTTCCTTTTTTTTTTTTTTTTATTGGCTTGGAATATTTTACCATCTTTTAGCTTAGAAATCTCACCCTTACACACACACACACACACACACACACACACACACACACACACACACACACACAAATCTCTTATGGTTTTTAATATCCAAGAGTTCTTTCCGATCTTTGATAGATATTTTAAAATAAAAGTTGCCGTTTCATGGGTGAAAGCTCTTCTCTCCCTGGGGATATCATTTGTTGTCTTAACTTGGTTCTGTGCATCCATGGTCTGTCTGCGCTGAGCTTTGTCTACTTCTTCGGTCTGTGCCACTGCTGCTGAAGATGTTCTTGAGCTGTCTGTGAGTCTAGAATCTGTTCGTGATGAAGAGGGAGCCGCTAAAAGCTGATCAGAAGGTCTTTGTGGACCGAGTACTGCCTGAGGGCTTCCCTGGGAGCTGGAGGTACCAAGACAGCCAGCCACATGGCTGGGGACGGGGCAGGGAAGGCAGCTGCAGGGCTCCTCGCTGACAATGGAGTTTTATACTGAGTTTGCCGCCCATGCCTGTGTGCCTGTCTGGAGATCCCGTCCATTTCCACCAGGAATCAACCTGGCCGAGTGGGCAAAAGGGGAGGGGGGAGTCGTGACTTGGAGTCCAACTTCCTGACACAGCTTTTTAACCAGCCTGGCTTTCAGCACCTCTACACAGAGTTCGAGTCCTGAGCGCTGGGCTTCCCCTCACAAGCATACCCCTGGCTGGTACAGGTGGGCATCCCCACCCCACCCTGTGGCCCGCTCCAGTCCGCTCAGCCTTTCAGCTCTTCTTCCAGCTCCCTGCCATTATAGAGTCATATTCTTTTCTAGTCATCAACTGCCACCTCAGTGGCTTGGGGAGGGAACGGGGGTAGATGTGTGCTTTAAATCTGCTGTGTGGACATGTCTTCTCAGCTCAGGTGTTCTGTGCCCTTTTCGGTGACGTCAGACGGTGTGGAGGGGACGCTTGAACAGTGGCTTAGCTCTTACTGGTATTGCCGTAGCCTCTCTGATCCACACCTTCCTGTCCTCTTGCAGAAGTGGACAAGTGTGAGCAACCCTCTCTTCCTCCCGCTGATCCCACCACAGTCACAAGGCTTCACCGCCATCGTCCTCACCTATGACCGTGTGGAGAGCCTCTTCCGGGTCATCACCGAGGTGTCCAAGGTGCCCAGTCTGTCCAAGCTGCTGGTGGTCTGGAACAATCAGAATAAAAATCCCCCAGAAGGTAAGAAGAATGAAGAGGTACCGTGCTTGGGGAAAGGCCCATTTAGGGCTTCCCCACACCCTTTAGCTGCACTGGCTTTGGGTGGATACATGCTCCTGTCCTCTGCCAACAACACTGCCAGGCTCAGGCAACCTGACCCTGCTCTTCTGAGTCATTTCTAGGGTGGCCCAGTGAACTCCGCGCCCTGGCATGCTCTGAGCCACAAGCGTTAGAGAGCTTAGGAGTCAAGGGGATCAAAGGCTGTCCGCCTTGGGAAAACAGGCCTCAGCTTCCCTCTGCCATCCCAGCCGATTTGTTTACATGAAAACTCAGTTTAAAGGGCATTAGTTTTCTGCTCCCTTATCTCTGTTCTGATATTGAGCCCTCCTTCAAGAAAACAAAACAAAACAGAAAGATAGCTCCTGTTCTGGTTGGGAGGTCAGCTGCCCAGCCCTTGGAGCCTTGCAGCCCAAAGTGGATTCTCACAGGAACTGGCCAGTTGTGCGTCACTTTGTCCCCTGCCTTGGCCATCCCTGTCGTCTGCCGCAGCAGCCCGGGTTGAGGCCTGTTTGATTAATTGGATTTGTTTTTAATTCGGGACGCACAGGAGTTCTTCCCACCTGCATTTAGCCTCTCATTCAGCCTGTCTGTTCCTGACCCTAATCCCAGGACTTCAAAGCTCCTGCCATTTAGAGCCTATTAAAGCCAGGAAGTTTCTGATGGATTAGAGCAAGGAATGAGTTTGAAGTTTGTAATGTGCACCACTGTCACCGATAAGGTCTAGTTTATTGCCTGACAGTAGTATCTGTGCTTTTTATGGCCAGTCCCTTTAACTGCTTACACTGAAGTCACAATGGCTAGCCCTGGAAACCACCAGTAGTAGATAGAGAGTCCGGGCTGGGAGACAGCCTGTTTCTCTCTCTGAGGCAACTCAGAATTTTCTGGACAAACTTCCAGACAGAAACAGTCACTCAGAGCCGCAGACTCAGGCGATTTTTAAAAAATGTACTTCGTGGCATGTTTAGTCTCTGAAAGAGTCATGTGCTCTTTTTACGTTTGAGGAGCCACAATTTGAGTAAAATAGCTTTTTAATTTTTTTAAACTTGATTTATTGTGTGTGTTATGATAACGTATGTGTATGCAGGTAACATGTGTGCCACAGCACTCATGTAGAGGTCTGAGGACAACTTTAGTGTGTGTGTGTGTGTGTGTGTGTGTGTGTGTGTGTGTGTCTGTCTGTCTGTCTGTCTGTCTGTCTGTCTATCTGCCATGGCATGTGTGTGGAGGTCAGAACATAACTGGCAGGACTGTGTCCTTCTACCCTGTGGGTCTGGAAGACCCAGCTCAAATGGTGAG